CAACAACCACTGCATCTTCCTCAAAGAGCAGCACACTTATGCTTTAACAAGAAAGGAAACTTAAAAAGGAACTTTTCTACTTCCCACATTCCCCGAAGCATCACAGTCTTCTCTCCTTGCGCCCAGGTATCTCCTGATAGGGACGTTTTACTGTGTTCCTGAAAGGTGTGGAGGGACCTGGTTCAGTCTTTTGTTTTATTTATTTTTGTTTTGAGACAGAGCTTCGCTCTGTCACTAGGCTGGAGTGCAGTGGTGCGATCTTGGCTCACTACAACCTTTGACTCCCTGGTTCAAGCAATTCTCCTGCCTCAGCCTCCCAAGTAGCTAGGATTACAGGCATGCACCACCATGCCCAGCTAATTTTTGTACTTTTTTTTTTTTTTTTTTTTAGCAGAGATGGGGTTTCACCATGTTGGCCAGGATGGTCTTGATCTCCTGACCTCGTGATCTGCCTGCCTTGGCATCCCAAAGTACTGGGATTACAGGTGTGAGCCACCGTGCCCAGCCAAGCCTTTGACATTGTGGCCAACAATCACAAGTACATCTCATTCCTTCCAAAATGGGTGTGTCACCTGCATGCCTTCCTTCTCCCTATGACCCCAGAAGAGATTGCTCTGGAAGGTGCCCACATGTGGATGGGAAGCATGAGAGGCAGGACTCCGGGCACATCAGCGGACATGGACACATGGCTGCCATCTTCTGCCTCTTGATTAGGTAGTTGTCAGCCTCGCTCTTGGTCTGGATCCTTCTGGTGGGCGTGGCCAATCTCCTCCCACGTGCCAGCCACACAGAGGCTGTCTCAACCCTGGCTGCTCGTTAAAATCACCTGCTGAGCTCCTGAACCCTACCAATGGCCCCAGCCCTGTTCCCGAAGCCCCGGGATGGACCCTGGCTGTGGTAATTGCTGAAGCTCCCCCAGGGATTCTGAAGTGCAGCCAGGGTAAAGAACCACTGATAAGAGAAATGTCATTTCGGGGAATTGATAGTTTAGCCTCACATGGTCTCCTCACTTGGCCCCAGCCCAGCCGTGGGGCTGAGTTAGAAGCAGGACTTCGAAGGCCAGCCAGCAGGACCTGCTCTGCCTGCCGAACACAGCAGACAGATCACTTTAGGCTAGGAAATCGAGACCAGCCTGGCCAACTTGGTGAAACCCTGTCTCTACTAAAAATACAAAAATTAGCCAGGTGTGGTGGTACACGCCTGTAATCCCAGTTATTTGGGAGGTAGAAATTGCAGTGAGCCAAGATCATGTCACTGCACTCAGCCTGGTGACAGAGCCAGACCCTGTCTCCTTCAAAAAAAAAAAAAAAAAAAAAAAAGGAAAAGAAAAGCCAGTGTGCGGGGAAAGTGTTTATAACCTATAAAGAGATTTGTCTATTTTTAACTTTCTTCCTTCACCCTTTTCCTTCCTTCCTTTCTTCTTCCCTTCCTTCTTTTCCTCCCTGTGTTTTTAATTCTCCCACTGAATCCCCAGACCTTGCCCCGCTGCCTGCCACACTCTTGCAATTGCGTCGGTCTTGTCAGTGAATGCCTCTGACCCTAACTGTCCTCCAGAAGCCCCTCCAACTTTCCCTTTCTCCCCCGCAGCGCCCTCCCCCCACCCCCCGCATGGCAGCTCAGATAATCTCAGAGCCTTGCAATCAGCAGATGGCGGCCTGAACCTTCACCTGCCTGTGTAGGGCCCCATGTCATCACCTGCCTGTTAGGGAGCTGGCTCACCTGAGTCTTTTTGCTTATTTTTTATTTATTTACTTATTTGTTTTTCAAAACAGAGTCTCACTCTGTCGCCCAGGCTGGAGTCCAGTGGCATGATCTCGGCTCACTGCAACCTCTGCCTCCTAGGTTCAAGTGATTCTGCTTCAGCCTCCCAAGTAGCTGGGATTACAGGAGCCCGACACCAGGCCCGGCTAGTTTATGTTTTTTTTTTTTTTTCAAGACAGAGTCTTACTCTTGTCACCCAGGCTAGAGTGCAATGGTGCTATCTCAGCTCACTACAACCTCTGCCTCCGGGGTTCAAGCAATTCACCTGCCTCAGCCTCCCGAGTAGCTGGGATTACAGATGCTTGCCACCACACCTGGCTAATTTTGTATTTTTTGTAGAGACAGGGTTTCACCGTGTTAGCCAGGCTGGTCTCCAATTCCTGACCTCAGGTGAAGATCCGCCTGCCTCGGCCTCCCGAAGTGCTGGAATTACAGGCACGAGCTACCATGCTAGGCCTCACCTAAGTCTTTAAAGTAACAGACTGGTGAATGGGGGTGGTGCATTGGGGAGACAGGTTGGCTGTGTCATGGAGCTGAATGCAGCCAGTAGAGTGCACACACCTCCAGGGTCTCCTTAAACTCAGGCAGACAATGCCATTGGGTGTTATTTCTATCCCTGTGTCAGCCAAAGCCTGAGTCTAGAGCCACTGAGGCACCCATGGGCTCAAGTGCCTGCCGACTTCAAGCACAGCACCGTCACTCTGGGCTCAGTTTCCCCATGTTCCGTAGGCTCCTCTGAGGCCCTTTCCTGCTCTGAAACCGCTGCTCTGGAGCCAGGAGAACCTGAGGGCTGCCCACGTGTCAGGGATTTCCTGCACCTTCCTGCCTGAAGCACCGGGTGTGCAAGAGAGTATCTCCTCTCCACTTCCAGCCACAGACTCACCTCCTGCCCTGGCCAACAAGAATCCCAGCTGATCTCCCAGGGAGGGGGCCGGCTCCATGCAGGGTGCTTCCCACCTACCGCCTCACTGGCTTGTCCTCCCCAAAATGTGGGCCATGCATGAGCCCACCATGTCATCCCTGGATAATGTCAGTGTGAGTCTTTGAAGAAGAAGACACCAGGACAGGATTGGACATGTAAGACAGCGATGGAGGAAATGCTTGTGAAGGATAAGGAGAGGAAGCAGGAGGATCGGGGAGGGCCCTCAGGTGGCAATACAGGTCTCACCCCTGTGTAAGGAGTGGGGAAGAAAGGAGGTTTGGATAGAAAGAGCCTCAGGTCCCCGGAGTTCTAGACCAGCCTGGCCAACATAGTGAAACCCCTTCTCTACTAAAAATACACAAATTAGCTGGGCGTTGTTGTGGACACCTGGAATCCCAGCTACTCTTGGGTGGCTGAGGCATGGTAGTCACTTGAACCTTGGGGGCAGAGGTTGCAGTGAGCTGAGATTATGCCACTGCACTCCAGCCTGGACAACAGAGGGAAACTCTATTTTTAAAAAAAGAAAGAGGCCAGGTGCGGTGGCTCACTCCTGTAATCCCAGCACTTTGGGAGGCCAAGCTGGAGAGATCACCTGAGGTCAGGAGTTTGAGACTAGCCTGGCCAACATAATGAAACCTCACCTCTACCAAAAATACAAAAAATTAGCTGAGGGTGGTGGTGCACACCTGAAATCCCAGCTACTCTGGAGGCTGAGACCTGAGACCGGAGAATCGCTTGAACCTGGGAGGTGGAGGTTACAGTGCGCCGAGATCGTACCACTGTACTCCAGCCTAAGCAACAGAGAAGACACTATTGAGAGAAAGAGAGAGAGAGAGAGAGAAGGAGAGAGGGAGGAAGGAAGGAAAAGGAAAGGAAAGGAAGGAAGAAAGAAGGAAGGGAGGGAGGGAAGGAAAGAAAGAGAGAGAAAGCGAAAGAGAGAAAGGAAGAGAGGAAGAAAGAGAGAGAAAAAGAAAGGAAGAAAGAAGAAAGAAAAGAGCAAGCAAGCCTCAGGTCTCAGTGCAGCTCTGAGAAAATCTCAGCCAGGCTGATGGGGAGACCCTGAGCCCAAGAGCCCAGTGGGGAGTACTGTGCCCTGCAGGAGTGGGCCAGCACCAGCTCTCATCCCCCCTCATGGGCGGGGAGGAGCTAAGGGAAGTGCATCCCAAGGGGCAGTGCTGGCTGTTGGCCACCTGGGCCCCCAGTGGCAGGTTCTCTTGGGGGAGACATGACTGGTGTGCTTCTGTGGCCATTGTGTAAATATTTACCCCACAGAAATGGAAATACCTGTCTACAAAAAGTGATACAAAAATGCTCTTAGCACCTTTAGCATAATCACCACCAACTGGAAACCACCCACCTTCCCGTAGACAGGTGAAGGGATAGAGAAATGGGGCTGGGCTCAGTGGCTCATGCCTGTAATGCCAGCACATTTGGAGGGTGAGGCAGGTGGATCACTGGAGGCTACGAATTTGAGACCAGCCTGGCCAACATGGTGAAACCCTGTCTCTACCAAACGTACAAAAAAATTAGCTGGGTATGGTGGCATGCACCTGTAGTCCCAGCTACTCAGGAAGCTGAGACAGGAGAATTTCTTGAACCTGGGAGGTGGAGGTTGCAGTGAACTGATATCACGCCACTGTACTCCAGCCTGGGCAACAGAGAGAGACGCTGTCTCAAAAAAAAAAAAAAAAAATAGGGCTATATACATACAATGATGGATATGAATTAAAAGGAATGAAGGGGCCAGGTGCGGTGGCTCACACCTGTCATCCCTGCACTTTGGGAAGCCAGAGCAGGCAGATCATTTGAGCCCAGGAATTCAAGACCAGCCTGGGCAACACAGGGAGACCCCATCTCTACAAAAAATTTTAAAATTAGTGGGGCGGGCCAGGTGCTGTGGCTCTTGCCTGTAATCCCAGCACTTTGGGAGCCCAAGGCGGGCGGATCACAAGGTCAAGAGATCGAGACTATCCTGGGCCAACATAGTGAAACCCCGTCTCTACTAAAATACAAAAATTAGCTGGGCTTGGTGGTGCACACCTGTAGTCCCAGCTACTTGGGAGGCTGAGGCAGGAGAATTGCTTGAACGTGGGAGGTGGAGGTTGCAGTGAGCTGAGATCGGGCCACTGCGCTCCAGCCTGGCACCTGGCGAAACAGCAAGACTTTGTCTCAAAAAAAAAAAAATGAGTGGGGCATGGTGGCATGGGCCTGTAGTCCCAGCTACTTATAAGGCTGAGGTGGGAGGATCGCTGGAGCCCAGGAGGTCAAGACTGCAGTAAGCTATGACTCACTGCATTCCAGTCTGGGCAACAGAGTGTGACCCCATCTCTAAAAGAAAATTTTAAAATGTGTAAAAAAAAAGGAATGAAGTACTGGTACATGCAATGATATGGACAAATCTCAGAAACAGTATATGGAAGGAAGCAACACAGAGAATACATAGAATACGATTTCATTCGTAGGAGGTCCAAGAAGGCAAAGTTAATCTTTGGCGATAGATGATTAGTGCCTAGCAGGTGGAGGGACAGGGACTTGTCTGAGAGAATTCACTGGAGTCGGCATGCTCCAGAACTTGATTTGGGTTTGGTTATACTTTGTCAAAACTAATTGAATTGTACTACAAAAGTCTGCATTTTACTGTTTGTAATTTTCACCTCAATTAAAAAAAAAAAGCCTCCACTCTATGGATGAGGCTTAGAGAGGTTAAGAGTTTGCCCATGATGCACAGCAGAGGGGCTCAGGCTGGAATCCTGCCTGCCCAGTCCCTACAGCGTGCCCACCAGAGCCCCGGCTGCCTCATGGCTCCCAGCGCCGACTCAAGAGGCTCCTCCTGTGCAGCCCAACACATTCCTGCATCCCTCTCTCAGGTGGGAGGCTGGGGCCTTAGGATTCCAGAAGACGCCACAGGTCCTGGTCTGGGGCCCAGTCCCTGTCAACAAAGCTGGGACTTGGCCTGAATCAAGCTTCTTCATCAACACCTGGAAGCCAGTGATCTTGTCACTGTCTCCATGGTTTTGCCTTTTCCAGAACATTGTATAGTTGGAATCATTCATTTGGTAGCCTGTCAGTTGACTTCTTTCACTTAGCAATGTGTATTGAAGTTCCTCCAGGTCTTTTCATGCCCTGATAACTTATTTCCTTTTTAGGGCTTAATAGTATTCCATTGTCTGGATGTACCACAGCTTACTTATCCATCCACCCATTGAAGGTCATCTTGGCTGCTTTCAATGTGGCAATTATGAATGAAGCTGATATAAACATCTATCTGCAGGTTTCTGTGCAGACATAAATCTTTAACTTGAATAAATGTGTGATTGCTGGAATTTATGGTAAAAGTATGGTTAGTTTTGTAAGAAACTGCCAAGCTGCCTTCCAATGAGGTGGTACAATTTTGTATTTCCACCAACAATGAATGAGAGTTGTTTTTTGTTTTTTTTTTTTTTAGATGGAGTCTTACTCTGTCACCCAGGCTAGGGTGCAGTGGCAT